TATCCCCGTCGGCCGTGCACATCAAAGATTATAGTGGTTTGTGTTTATCCTGTTGCAGTGCGTCATAGCTGTCGTCTTCATCCTCGTATGAAAGCGCTGACCCCCTCCCGGCTCATGTGCATGGTCTCGTGCATGTCTGTTTTCGACTATCGCTGACGTGTCGTCGTGCAGGGGTTGGACGTGACCAAAATAGTAGTAGTTATTATTACTACTAACGATGATCGTTTCCCCTCAGGACTATGATGTGCTCTGGCGTCGAGAGTAGTGACCGCCCAGCCCTATCTGCGTTCCACTCTCTATTATATCATCATAACAGACGATAGCTGTTTGCCCTCTTTTATTTATCATCTGCAAATCACCACTTCTTCGCAACAAAAGAATATGAGTAACAATTTTTGCATGTCTCCTAGCTTCAGTATGTCTGTCAGTTCGTAGGATCGATAACAGGATACTCATCAGACGTATAGGTCCATGAAACTCCGCCCTCTCTCCTTGCGTGTGCGTGATGTGCGTCTGGTCGTGGCTGGGGGGTGTGTGTGTGCGTGTGAGAGTCTCTGCGAGCGTGTGTGTCTGTATGTATGTATATATATATATATGTATGTATATATATATATATTATATAGAGAGAAGACAGACACGCACACATATATATACGCAGATATATATATATATAATATATATACATATATATTATATATATATATTATATAAAATATATATATATATATATATATATATATATATATATATATATACAGAGAGAGAGAGAGAGAGAGAGAGAGAGAGAGAGAGAGAGAGAGAGAGAGAGAGAGAGAGAGAGAGAGAGAGAGAGAGAGAGAGAGAGAGAGAGAGAGAAAAGGGACTGGCACATTTATTTGAAATCACAATATTCATGTTAAGATTGCCATGTATGATATTCTGCGCATCTATTGATTCAGGAAATGGAGGCAAGTGGTGACGGTGAGACCATTGCCAAAGGAAAGGTAACTCTCAGTTTATGACGTTTATTGAGAATAGTTCAAAGAGATAAGCATAATATTATCTGTCTTTTCGTGTTGTGAGATTTATTTTGTCATCATATTTAAGGAAATGCTGTTTTCCTTTGTATTGCTATAATGACCACTGTAAGAATATGTCCCCCCCCCTCCCCCTTCATTAAAAAAGAAGAAAAAGAAGAACAAAAAACCCGGAGAGATGAATATCTACTTTTTCATTTATGTTTAGCCTCTTTTTGAAGATAGATAGATAGATAGATAGATAGATAGATAGATAGATAGATAGATAGATAGATAGATAGATAGATAGATAGATAGATAGATAGATAGATAGATAGATAGATAGATAGATAGATAGAGAAAGAGAATGGGAGGGGGGAGACTGGCAAACAAACTGACAGACACACAGACTTACACACAGACCGACAGACACACAGGTATATCTATTTTATCCTTGGGCGGTTTGGGGGCTGGGAGAGGGGGGGGGGATGCCACTGGTACGTTCTACTTCTTTACTATCTCACTCTCTCTCTCTCTCTCTCTCTCTCTCTCTCTCTCTCTCTCTCTCTCTCTCGTTTTGGTATCACTCTTGCTTTTTATATAGCAAACAAAGATCGTTCTTGTGTAGATGTTATGGTTATCTTAGCTCAAACAAGACAAGTGGTGGTGGACAGCCCTTTGGTGTGGTTTGCTCTTTCTATCCTCCTTATTTCTGTTCTTTCAATGTTTTCATTGTATGTTACTCTCTAGTAACACCCCTTGTCTTCAGCGTATATTTGACATATTTGTGTTGATAGTGCGTAAAAATCTTACTTAAACTAAAACTTAAACACAATAAAAACGTGTGTGGAATCGTGGTAAGATTAAACGCTCGTCGAGTAATTCAACCCATCCCCCACCCAAAAGAAAAGAAAAAAATCTCACCCACTGGGCAATGTTAAAATTTTCGTTTTGGGCTCAGTAGCTTTTATAGCCGTTTGTTATACATTTCTTTGAGGATTTTAGAGACAAAAGGGCTGATCAAAGGCTTAAGGAAATACATTTGCGGTTGCCAAGATTCCTACAGTTTTGGAAGTCACCAGACTTTGGCAGCCATTTTCTCGTAAATGTTTACCTCGGGCACTAGGCTATCCCCACCTCTTCCAAATGCAAAGAGCTCTGATTCTATTCGAGATAAATGGGTGGACTATTTTTCTGTTTAACATCAAAAGCCATGGATATAAACAGGTTTTAAGGTTGAAGGTTATAACGACAACTTGATAGGCTCAAAAACGGAGGAGAGATTGATTCCACCGTGTTGTGTCTCTCGTTGACGTAACCGAGTGTCCTCGTGGATGGTTGGCGGATGCTCTGGAGTGGTATTATCCTTCTTTCCTATCAAACATCTATAAACCTTATCCTCTCTCCCTCTTTATTTTCTTTTTTGGTATTCTCTAGAAACATCCCCCATCTTTGGCTTTTATACAACCTAATTGTGTTGAAGTTGTGCCATAAGATTTATTTAAAATGCTTGTTAAAAAAGCAAAAACAAAACAAAAAACAAAAACAAAAACGCAGAGAAAAAAAAAACTAAAACTGTGTGTTCTCCAACAGGTTTGGGACGACAAGTTGGCCGCTGTTGCACAGAAGTGGGCCAAACAGTGTGTGCTGGAGCATGACAAGAACAGGAAGATCCCCTGTAAGTGTGTGTGTGTGTGTGTGTGTGTGTGTGTGTGTGTGTGTGTGTGTGTG